GAGAGAGAGACGAGGGGGGGGTCAGAGAGAGAGAGAAACGTTGTTCCACCCCCTTCTGTCGTCCTCGACAGTTGACAGCAGCGCAAAGATGCCTTACTTCTCTCTCTGTCTCAGGAGGTATTGTGACGATGTTAGACGGTGTAGAAATTGGAGGAGGAGGGACGCAATAGAGGAGGCCGATATGGCTATGACAGTGAAGGACGAGGAGAAACAGGAGGAAGGTAAGTTGGATGATGGAGATGAGGGCAGTAGGAGTAGGGAGGAGGGAGGAAGAGGAGAGAGGGGAAATAGGAGGTTTTTTTTTTTTTTTTTTTTTCTCCAGCGCTGCACGCACTGACGAGGAGCAAATGAGAGATCGTAGAGCAGGTTCAGGAGAAGGTTAACCCGATCCCGACCTGATCCCATCCAATCCCATCCCGACCTGCCCAATCCCTCTGGATCCAGCCCATCATCCCATCCGACCCCAACCCAATCACAACCGTCGAGAAAGGGGAGGAACGCACGCCGGGGGGAGGAAGACCAATCAATGGGAGGCTGGAGGACGATCCGGGAGCAGGGCGCTAGGATGGAGAAAGTGAAGAAAGATATGACGAATCTGTCTCCCCCTCTACCTGCCTCCCCTCTTTATCTTCTTCTACCTCCTTTCTCTGTACATCTTTATCCTCCTTCACTCCCTCGTCCACCCGCTTCCCCTCAGGAGCCTTCTTCTTCGCCACCGCGTCCTATCTTCTTCCTCTTTCTGCTCACGTGTCCTCCTCCTCTCTCCCCCCCCCCCCCCCTTCTTCCCCTATCTCGACGTCCTCCATCGCGCCCGTGCCTTTTTTTTCCTTTTTTTCAGTATATATATATATGTGACTATTTGACGATATATATAGAGGATGAGTCGGTGAAACTCCGACGAAACAGTTTGTCACAGCCCCTCGTTTGTTGTCCTCTTCTCTCTCTCTGCCTATGGTTTTACCGGGCAGTTCTGTTTGTGACGATATATATATTTTTAATCGCAAGTGATCATCGTTCAATCAATCAATCAATCAATCAGTCAACCAAACTTTATGGTCGATCTTAATTATTGGAGCGATAACATATGAAGAACGTTGGAGAGAGATGGAGGAACGGGGCACCAGGATGAAGGAGGAACAATGGGAGGACGAGAAGGAAAAGGTTGGAGGAATATGTACTGAGGAAGAAGCGAAAAAGAATGACGACCTCAAAGAGGAAGAGGGAGATATGCTGAAGGACCAGAGAGGAGGAAGACGAGAGGAACAAGATTGTGGGGGGATTCAAGTAGGAGGAGGAGCAGTAAGGGGAAGAGGAGGAAGTAGGGAGGAAGAGAGAGAAAAGGTTGGAGGTTGATGGAGGAGCAGCGCGCTAGGATGGAAGAAAATGCGAAAAGGAGGACTACCACAAAGAGGAAGAGGAAGATACGCTGAAGGACCAGTAAGAGGAGGGACAGAAGAACGAACACAAAAAAGAGAGGAGGAAGGAGGGAGGAACATGAAGATGGCGGAGATTGGAGGAGGACAAGGGGGAGGAGGAACAGTAAGAGGAAGAGAAAAAAAGACGTAGGAAAAGGTTCTACTCATCTATGTCCTACTCCGCCCCCTCACCGGCTTCGCCCATCCAGGACTTCCCCCCTCCTCTTCTTCTTTATCTTCTTTTTTGGTGCCTTCTCTTTGCTGTTTTGGTTTGCGATGACATCTGCTTTTCTCTGCTTTTTCCCTCTTCAGTCTTTCAGCAAGTTTCTCTGTCTCCCCTCCTTCCCATCACTGCGGTCCACCTCTTGCACCGCGGGCAAAGTCGTGGGGCGTAGAATTAGAGAAGGATGAGGAAGAGGACTGACGGCACGCTGGTTTCCACGATAATGATAATGACGATGATGATCACCATGATGATGGTGGGGAGAGGGAGGGTGGGCATGATGATGGACGATGGGGAGGGCTATATTGCAAAGATGGGTCCAAGTTCCCCGTCCAACCTGGGGTATTTCGCAAAATGCCTGTGTCGTCGTCCGCCGACGCGAAACAGGGGTGGTCGCAGAGAGGAG